GAGAGAGAGAGAGAGACATGGAGACACACACACACGCACACACACACACACACACACACACACACACACACACACACACACACACACAGAGCAGTGTCAGCCCCTCACGGCCTGGCTGCACAACTTTGGTTCTCCACCACTTTCCCAGGACTTGTTGCTTCAGGACCCGCGCTAGTCTGGTGGGTTGCCACTCCTTTTTCCATTGACAAGCGCCGAGTTACAACTGGTTTTGGGCTCATCGCAGATCTCTGTGGAAACCAAACACAGTCACGAGGGACCCGCTTTTCACTTTTAACTTTTAAGTTATTGGGGATTAGGGATAGCTCTTGAATGAAGACAACTAGTGCAAATCATATGGACCTGTCCTGCAGCCAACACTCCCTCTCCTATAGGTATTAAGTTACTATTAACGTATTACTCATGACGAGGAAAATAGAAAGGATGGCAATTGTCCTTTCGGACATTTGTGAAAATTGGGACCGTACAGTCCTTCGGGACAACCGTTAAAATTAGCACAATACAGAGAAGGAAGATTAGCATGGCCCCTGCACAAGGATGACACACATAAATCGAGAAAAAAATGGTCCAAATTAAAAGAAATTAAAAGAAAAAAAGGGACAAAACAAAGAAGATTAGAATTGTCCCTGTGCAAGATGACACGCATAAATCGGCAAATGTTAGGAATTAAAAAAAAAAAAAAAACGACAAAAGGAAAGGCTGTCAATCTCACCTTCCCTGAAAATGTCTGCACAATGATATCCTCCATCACAGTGGATGTTACAAAACCTGTACGGTGTCGTAAACAAATGGAATCGTGTGCAATGCGGAATCAAGTCAGAAAGACTCACAAGTTTAAAAAAGGTAAAGAATTTCGATCTGATCCTAAGGCAAAAGTTGTTCAGTTCATTTTTCTGCATAACATAGTTTTCTAACTTTTCAGACTTCTCTCGTTTTTTTGCCAAAAAAAGGTAAAGCTGCCACAAAGACTAAGCAGTCAGCATCCACCATGGACTCTGTCTGACAAGGATTGAACATCCGTCTCTTCACTGAATCAACACTGCAGTGCGAAAAAGAAATTCAACGATATCGTCGATATGGCGATTCCCAAGGAAAGATGGTGCACAGGGTAACACCAGCATGACCTGGATAGTAATACCTTAATAAGGCTGGATTTAAAACTGCACACAAATCATAGTAATTGTGTAGTTTAATTCATTCAGATCATTCAAATCATTCAAATCATTAAGAAATGTAAGCTTCACTGATTCAGAATGATGGAGATTGCAGAGGAAGAGCAACAGAACTGCAGCGGCTTCAGTAACTGAATGCAAGAAGATCACTCGGCTGAGAAAGGGTTTTTGCTTCATCATCCCTTACCAGCATCGATTGTCGAGATCGACTCCCCAATACATTTTTGATAGACCAACTGTGGAGCGATCTCTGGAGTGAGAGCTGCATAAACCTGTGCAGACATAATGGTCATTAACAACCAATTAACTTCAGTTAAGATAGACGGACCTATAGATGGACAGGTGTGCAAAGAAAGAGAAAGAAAAGAAAAGAAAAACAAACAAAAGAGAGCAAACAAGCAAGCTTGCACGAAAGGAGGAAAGAAAGAAAAGAAAGCTTGCAAGTTGCAAGAAGGTAAGGAAAAAAAAAAAGAGAGCTTGACAGAACGAAAGAACGAATGAACGAAAGAAATAAAGAAATAAAGAAAGAAAAGAAAAACTAAAGAAAGAAAAGAAAGAAAAGAAAGAAAGAAAGAAAGGAAGGAAGAAAAAGAAAAAGAAAGAAAGAAAGAAGGAAAAAAGGAAAGAAGGAAAGAAAGACAGAAAGAAAGAAAGAAAAAAAAGAAAGAAAGAAAAGAAAGAAAAGAAAGAAACAAAGAAAGGAAAGAAGGGAAAAAATCAGCTGTTGACACAGGAACTTAGGATGCCATAAGAATAAAAGAGAGGCAAGGCGAGGAAGGATAAGTAAAGGGGGTAGTAAGGTTCAAGGAATATAGGATACGGATAGTAAGATAGTAAGATCGGAACTGGGATTACATGTTTTGGCAAACTGAGATAGTATAGGTTAACTTAGGCAGGGGTGAGAGGTGGTACATCCTTCCTCAGAGAAGTAATTAATGCTGCCTACTCGGGCCTCTCAGCCATAATGGGGAGGAGTGTGTGAGAGTCCTTTATGTATTTCATATTGACTTGCCGGAGGAAAGGAACCGGACTGTTGCTCCCCAGAATGGTAGGAGCCAGAACCAAGAGGTTCTGTTTTAATTTAAAAAAAAAAAACAAAAAAAAAAACAAACAAAAAAAAAACAAAAGTGAAAGCCAAAATCGAAAGAAAAAGCCAAAAGCAAAAGCCAAAGCGAAATCGAAAGCAAAAGCCAAAAGCAAAAGAGAAAGACGAAAGCCAAAGCCAAAGCCAAAGCCAAAACGAAAAACAAAAAGCCAAAACAAAAAAAACAAAAGTGACAGCCAAAAGCAAACAAAAGTGAAAGTGGAAACCAAAAGCAAAAAAAGCAACGGCCACAATCAAAAGTGACAGCCAAAAGCGAAAGCAAAAGCCAAAAGCAAGTAACAGCCAAAAGTAAAACTGACAACCAAAAGCAAAATTCACAGCTAAAGCCTAAAAGCAAAGACGACTGCTGAAAGCAAAAGTGAAAGCCAAAATAAAAAACAAAAGCTGAAAACAAAAGCAAAAGACGGAAACAAAAGCAAAAGCTGAAAGGAAAAGCAAAGGAAAAAAAAAAACACGAGCAAGGCAAAGCAGAAACAGAGCGAGCGAGTGACCGACCGAACGACCGACCGACCGACCCGACAAACAAACAAACAAAAACAAATAAACAAACAAACAAACAAACAAACAAACAATGAACGAACAAACAGACAAACAAAAAAAACAAAAGAAGGAAGAAGCAAGAGAACAAATAAACAAGTGAGAGAAAATGAACAAACAGAAGAATGACTGGACAGATGAATGGATGAACGAACAGATGAGACTTTAAATGAGGTTCATCTGCCTCGCCCGAACGGCCAGGAGTGCAGCATGGGGGGGTTCACCCCCGTCCGCTCCTTTTTTGAAGTTCTCTTTTGTCTGTCTCTTTAGTTGGTATGCCCGCCTGCTGGGATTAGATACCACCGAACAACGTGGCAAAAAAAGAGCGACGGGGCGAACCCCCACGCTGGAAATCAGGAAAAGTCGAAGCAAAACAAGCAAAGAATGTCTTTTTGTTAGAAAGAGCCTATCAAGTGTGTAAGTGCTTCAGTCCAAGGCAAGTCAGTGTGCTGCCTTGCCTCAGTTTCAGAAAGGCGGGGTAGTGCATCTGCCTAATGCAATGCAGGACAGTGTGAGGCTCAGCACCAAGGAAAGGAGGTGTGCGGCCGAGGACTGGTGTGGCGAACAGCAGTTGGGAAGCGTGGAGCCTGCTCAGCCTGGTCCTGATGCTTTGTGGTGCTGCTTGGATTGGCGGAGAAGAGTCTGATCAAGATCGTGCAGCCAAAGAAGACCAGGCGGAGGAGCACGGCCGCAGGGGTTTGGGAAGGGTCTGAAGCCTCCAGCGCCTCCGAATGTAGTGGAAGAGTAGCACCAGGCTTCAACGGCTTGTTGTGGGGACCAAGGCACTGAAGGCCAGCCGGTAGTACCAGCTGTATCTGGCTAAAGGATTGACCACATCCGCCTGGTACTGCTAGGTAGACCCAGAGGGGAAGGGCCGTAAGGGCCTAGAAAATTCTGGTAGGGAGGGGGAAATGCAGTTGCGAGCGGGCGGCCGAAGTAGACACGCGGTTAACGGAGGCCTGAAAATCCCCTGTTTTCGCCGACAGTTTCTGTGCAAAATTCAGCGAAAAATTCAAAAACAAACTATATGGGCCCATAGAGCAAAGTTCAGCAAACCTTAAAAAAAAAAAAAAGAAGACGGGCCAAAGAAAACGAGGAAAAAAAAAAAATTGGACATATGACGTACCCTAAAGCACCTACATATCACACTAAAAGAAAAACAAGAAAAAAAAAGCACAAAATCAGGGTGATATGGATCATATGACAGTTTCAGTGCAAAATTCGGCGAAAAAAAAAAAAGCGCACCCCCGATTAACCATGTGTGATACGAGCCGCAGTCTAGATAGGTCAGGAGAAATTTGGAGAATCCAGTGAGCCCTACTGGATCCCAAATCTGGCCAGCTTCTAGGCCAGGTTCAGGAACCGGTAGGCCCACCAGTATCGCCTGGGGCCCTGAGCGCCTAGATTTTTTTTGGAGTCTGCAATCAGGAAGCTCGGGAGAATGCTGCAGCAGACTTCTACGTCACCCTCCCATGGTCCACGAAAAGATTTTCAACATATGGTAGTAAAGTGTTCCCATCATGATTAACGCAGCGACATGCCTCCCACAACTACATAGAGATTCTCACTGGGGCATGACGACGTATTATTTTGGAGATTGGCGGCATTGTGTTTTCCTGCCATGATGTGCAGCCTTGCAAACACAAAACACACAGACTTCTTTTTTCAAATTAAAAAAAAAAGGGCCCACCACCACTTCAACCCACTGACCTCATCTACCTGTCTCCCCAAGATGAACAAACCGCTGCCCCCCAGGTGTGCACCCATATATATTTGCCACACAACACTTGGCCAAACTAGCCACACCAACAAAACACTCAAGAAAGAAACAAAAAACAAATAAGACAAACCAACCGAACAAACCAAACGAGACAGACCCTTCCAACGGAGCTGAAACTCAACCAAGTCTAAACCCTAAACCCTAAACCAAAAAGACAAAATGAACAACATGGCTGACCACTTCCGGCAATCAATGTGAGCCTAGTAACTGGCCTCTACAACACCCTGGACTTAGAAAAAAAAAAGAAAATGGATAGCTTGGGGCCTCACCTCAATGCTACCATCATCTCTTCCGACAACAATATCATTTATTCCAGTCTTCGTGAAATCAACCTTCGCACTGCAGAAAAAAAATTCCAATTAACTACCTGGTTTAGGCTGGCTAGCATTTTTCTTGCTGGCCGAGGTCAATTTACTAATTTAGTCCATATGAGAGAGAAAGCGTCAAATAGTCTAAATAATTTAAAAGAGGGGGGGGGGGGGGGGGGCGGGGTGCAGAAATAAAGGGGTGCCAGAGCAAGGAACCACTGAGACTGGTAAGGATGCAACAGGGGCATGAGCAAGAAAGAAGGGTACAGACTTACTACAAAGGATCTCAGGATGCAAAAGGAAAATAAATTTAAATAACAAAATATCCCCCACGTTGCCACAAGATATATTTTAATTTTCAAAAAAATGAGAAAAATGAAAGAAAATTTAGAAAAATGAAAACAGGACAAACATCAAGCACTGGCTTGTTCAACTTTGTTCCATACTGTACCGTTCTCCATTTACACTTTGTGTTGAGGAAGCAGCGCAGATTTTCTGACAGGTTATCAGATCAAAACCACGAAGGCCAGAAGTGTGTTTTGACTCTTTTGAGTATGTTTTGCCTGTGCTTCGATGCTCCAGCCATCGGGGCTCTAGCACCGACTAGGGTAGCGGCCTTCCAAGCCTGAATTTATGCTACCCAGCCCTATCATTTCAGCCCCCCCCACTGGTTAAACAACCACACTACCTTCTGGTAGATCAGGCCCACCAGTGCAGACAGGAAAATCATCAGTGGCCGTCAGATTTTCAGTCCAACGAGCCAACTGAAAAACAATAGATCCCTCCAGATCCTCCTCCTCCTCCTCCTCCTCCTCCTCCTCCTCCTACCCATCTGCCTATCAGTCGTCCTCCTCCTCCTCCTCCTTCTACCCATCTGCCTATCAGTCCTCCTCCTCCTCCTCCTGCTTCTACTGCTCCTCAGTCGTCTTCCTCCTTCTCGTCCTCCTCCTCCTCCTCCTCCTAACCCTGGTGGTCCTAAGAAGTAGAGGTGGTTAAACAGGTATATCTCATGCAGAGCTGTTATTTTTCATTGGCACAAACAACCGTGGCAGCAATCTGACCGGGGATGTCTTAGTCAGAAAGCGACCATGTGCTCTTGTGACGGGATGTCTTGGAGTTCTGTGACAGGTGCCTTCGGCCTTCGATCCACTGAACCCCGTGCCATCGCACAGGTTTGAAATGCCAGCATCAAACTTTAGACCCAAGTGTCTTGAGACTCTTTACCACTGGACTCTAAGCCGATGCGACACCTTTTTTGTTGTTGAAAATATTGCCTAACCATTCTGTGTGCGTACCTGGCCTGTTTTAGAGAAGTGTGAAGGCCGTCATGTGTTACTCATAGAGATTTAAATTTCTCTGTAATTTATTACACCCTCTCTACAATATTCACAAATATACACCTCGAGTTCCTCTTTTCTGTGTCATTGACCTTTATGTGATCTTGACCTTCAAAGCTCAAAGTCCAAACCCTTCTCAGTGATTTTGTGCTTTTCTCAACTTCCTTCTGTGTGTTTATCCCTCTCTCTGTCTCGAGTATGCTAATACACATGCTCACATGCAATGATGCCCTGAAGCGAATTGCACTCAGTGCCACTCACACATGTATTTGCATGGCCGAAACAAGCTGAGTGAGTGAGTGAGTGTGTGTGCGTGCACACAGTTGCACGTGCACGAGCGACCAAACGAGCAAGCGAGAGACGAGTGTGCGTGCATGTGTGTGTGTGTGTGTGTGTGTGTGTGTGTGTGTGTGTGTGTGTGTGTGTGTGTGTGTGTG